TTTGGAGAGGTTTTTGCTATAGGGCGCGTGCGCTCGCCAGACAGACAGAGACAGAGAGACAGAACGCGAGAAATCACCCCCCAGGGGGAATGGCCACACCACGATCCCTTCTCCTCCGATCTCCTCTTGGGATCTTGGGCACACACGCACACGCGCCCAGTGTGAGTTTTAAGCCACCGGGTCCGGGACACAAACTGCGGTCAACTACATGGGAGTCCAGAGACATAGCCATTATGCTAACTGGTGGTCCCACCCCTTAACTTTTCTAATATTAAAATATGGGACTGGCAGGCGGCGTGGTGGTTAAGGCACTGGACTCCCACAGGGCCAAGCACAGTTCAAGTCCTGGACTCAGCAGCTTGCTTTCTCACTCTCTCTCTGGTGAGCATATGTGTCCTACAGCAAATAATAATAATAAATAAAATAATAATAATAAAAATTATTAAAATAAACATGTTGAAAACTAGAAGCTAGTTTGGTGTGTACGGAAAACTCAGAGAAGAGATACAAGCCCCAGTGTCACGTGGGCACAGCACTCCTGTACACCGGCAGAACCCTGACCCCAACATCTGGGAACACGGGACCTGACTGCACAGCCCTGAACACGGGCCTTCCCTGGCCTTGGCCTCCCCCGGCTTGGTGTCGAGAATGCGCTTTTGCTTCTGTGACATCCATCGCTCAACCACCGGGAGGGACCCGAGGGAGATGTCCGTCTCTCGGCTTCAGAAAGGGAGGTTGGCACCAGGAGCTGAGATGAGAGAGCTCCAGAAGAGGGATCCTGGGAAGAGGTCAGGGCCCCACAGCGCCAGACCGAGCCCCTCCCTTCTGGCCCCTCCAGCCCTGCAACCGCCCCGGCCTTGCCCAGCTGGAGCCTCCCAAGCCCGGGCAGTGGCAGGCATGCGTCCCTGGGAGAAGCGCTCCCATGGAAAGCCTCGAGGGAAGAGGAGGTGAAGAGCTGTCCCTGTTGGACCGAGGTGGATGGGACATAGAGGGGACGGGCACCCACAGGGCTCACGCCTCACAGGCAGGCCCAGAGCACCTGGCTACCCTGAGCAATGCTGGGCCGCAGCTGGGGTCAGGAGGTCTGAGGACACAGGCCACTGCCCGCCCTCGACGCCACTCCGAACTGAACTGCCTCTGGCCATGGCGAGGGGTGAGCCCAGGAGCCACCGTGGGGGGCAGTGAGAGGGCTGGCCACACCCAGGCCCAGGGCACCCAAGGCCGAGACAGACAGCGTCTCACGGCCAGGTGACCAAGGTCACCCTCGAGCAGAAGCGTCGCCAGAACAAAATAGCCTCGGAGAACGCTGCGTCTGCCCCAACCCGAGCCCTCCGGCTGGCGGGGGCAGCCAGCGCCTGCGGAGGGTGGGGCTGCGCCACGGTGCACTGCTGTCAACACTGGGCTGTGTCAGGGACCACGTGCCCAGGCAGAGGCCACATGAAATCCAGCCCTGCCACCCAAGGCTCACGGCACGGCAGCAAACAGGCCCGGGGCCGGCACACACGCGGCGGTGTCCTACCCGTGGCCAGCCCTCCTGTGCCTGCTGATCTCCTTCTCGCCCTCGATGATCCACTGCATGATCTTCTGGTTCCTCTCTGCGTCCTCCGAGGGCCCGGGGGCCTCCACACTGCCACTCTTCCCCGAGTCGGCCTTCTTGGCGCCCCTCCTGGAAGGTAAGCCTGCCTTCCCGCTGCGAGACCAAGACCTGAAGTCACCCCCGCCCCTGGGCCATCACCTGTGCCCTGTGCCACCTGGGAGGGCCTCGGCAGCCTGGACCCGGGGCCTGAGGCCGGACGCATCAGAGCAGCCTCTGCACCGCCCTCCCACAGCTGCAGCACTGCAAGCAGCCTGCTCCAACCGTCCGGTCGCCGCAGTCTACCTCTCTTCCAACAGACTGGACAGCTGACCCTGGATCCCAGACAGTACCTCGGGCACGGGGTCACGAGGCTGGAGCTGTGGCCAGGGCACCTCCCCCTCAGGCCGCCATGCCAGGGCCCAGCTGCCCCTCCTCACCTGGGCCCCTGACCCCTACCTGGGGCCCCCAGGGCAGCAGAGGAGACCCATGCCCGAGTCCTGCCCCATCAGCTTCCCCACATGGGACATGGCCTCACCACGCCTGCCCACCCAGCTCCGACTGCCCAAGCCCGGGCTGGGCATTGCACTCACCTGTGGGTCAGACTGTCACCAGCACCGGCACCCATGCTCTCTGGGTAGCTGCGGGGCTTGGCCGCGTGGCCGTACAGTTCGGGGCCCCACGGGAAGCTGCCCTGGACCCTGCGGGCAGCCTCAGCCTCCACCTGCTCCTTGGGCCTGGCCGTGCTGTGGTGGACGTGGTGGTGGACGTGCCTGTGGTGGTGCAGGCCAGCCGCCTCCAGCCTTGGCCCTGACCTGGGCGTGTGCTTGCTGTGCCCAGAGGTCGGGCCGCCCAGCACTGCCGCCCCCTTGGCCATGTGCCCGCTGTCAGGGGACTGGCGGCCGGGCGTCCTCAGCACACGCTGCACGTGCTCATCCAGGATGGCCTCAGGGTCCTCCTCGTGCGAGTCCCGCAGCCCAGCACAGCCCATGTCCCCGTAGCGGGGCGGGAAGGGGTGCCAGGTCGGGGCGGGAGGCAGCTTGTGACTCACTCCCGGAGGACAAGGAGACAGGTCCCCATCCTCGCCTTCTTCTTCCTGTGGGTGCGAGGAGCAGCATCACCTCACCCTCTGACACAGGGAGCAGGGCTGTCTCTGAGCCTCCATATGGGAGCTCCCTGCGCCGTCCGGCCCAAGCGAGCCCAGCTGCCCCCCGGCCTGCTAGGCTTGGCTGCAGCGGGGACGGGCCCAGATGCCATGAAGGAACCCCCTGGACTCAGCTGCCACACTTCGTGACCTGTCGTGGCGTAGGGGATGCCTGTAGGGACTGGTTTTCTCCTGGTCCTCAGTAGGGACTTGTCTCCTCTCAGCCGAGTCCTTCCTCCCTTAATTTTACCGCCAGAACGCACTTTCCCTCCAGAAAGGGGGTCGCCCTGTGCTTATCCTGCACAATCCCTGAGCGATCCCATCCCATTCTCTGAGAGCCAGCAGAGGCCACGCTCGGTCTGCAGACACAAACACGCCCCCCGACCTCATAGCTCCTGCTCACCTGAGCTAACTGGACCCGTGAGTGAGCGCACCGGGTTCACCTAGGGTTAACAGAGAGGCGAGGCGGGCGCCTGGCTACCCCTGGATTTTAACATGAAGAAACCTCCAGAAGTTTACCACTGGATTTCTCACAGATGCCAAGGCTCTATAGCAACTTGCATAGGCGTACACAATTTCCTAGTGTGGGAAACGGCACCCAAGAGGCGGCACAGGGACAGGCAGATGGAAGGCGCCCCCTGGTGTCGAGCCCAAAGCCACCTGGCAGAGCCGGGTCTAGGAGCAATTCAGTCTTCCCAGACTGAAGGGGCTTTTATTCTTTTTTTCTTTTTAAGAATATTTTTAGGCTCCCCCCCCCCCCCCGCCGGCGACTTCGCATATGGTGGACGAGAGGTTTTTGCTATAGGGTGCGTGCGCTCGCCAGAAAGACAGAGAGACAGAAAGCGAGAAATCATCCCCCAGAGGGATGGCCTTCTCCTCCATTCTCCCCTTGGGATCTTGGGCACGCACGCACACGTGCCCAAGCGTGAGTTGAAGCCGCCGGGTCCAGGACTCAAACCGCGGTCGACTACATGGGAGTCCAGCGACACGACCATTACGCCAACTGCTGGTCCTCTTTTATTCTTAAAGCTAATCCACTTGTTTCTCCCATGAGAGACAACGGGAAAGAGACCCTGGAGGGACCTCCTGCTGTGATGCCACTCCCACCCATCCCAGCTGCTTGCGGCTGGCTGCCCCGTGCAGAGGGAGGCGGAGCAGCCCTGGTCGGCAGTTGGGCGTCCCTGAGCTCCGCCTGTGGTACTGGGTACTGCCGCACCACCAGAGGCTAGGAAGTGCCGGGAGTCTCGGCCACCTCGTAGCACATGGCAGCAGTGAAGGGGCTCCAGACCTGCAGGGCAACCTGGCAGAGATTCCGTCTTCCTCGACGACCTCAACTGCAAGGTTTGGAATTGTTCTGCATGGTTTTCTTTTCTAAACTTTTTTTAAAAAGAGTTATTTTATTTAACTTTATTTATTTTAATTTTGACCAGAGAGGTACAAGAGCGAGGGAGCGGGGCAGGAGGGTGAGAAGTACGAGACTTGACTACGGTCAGCCATGTGGGAGCCCAGCACCCTTCACCATGCCACTTGCTGGCCCCTCAGCATGGTTTTCATTCTCTGTGTTTGTAATTCCCAAATATTATAATGAAAATTCTTTATTTTAAAAATCTGAAGTTACCACTTTTTAAAAAGTACTATCAAGAACGTGCATAGCCAGTTCAGAGTCACTGTCATAAACCTGGCAGTCTGGAGAAAATGCCAGGTGCGTGTGCACAGCCCCGAAATCCCGGGAGGAGAACAGAGAAGAGACTGCGGTGTGACCACCCGCCAGGGGAGGGGACGTGCACTCTAGCACAGGTACACACTCTTCAACAGCAACAGCAAGGCCTGCCAACGACAGCATGATTGCCTTAAATCACGAAATCCCCCAGCCAACACTCCACAGCCCAGAGGGTGCAAGAAGGAACACTCCAGCCACAGCAGCTCTGCCAAGG